TGCACCACAATCACAGTATTTTTGCTTGGTGCCAAAACCAACATTTTTATATTACTGTTTTTTTTTCACGTAGTATACTGAGCTTGATAAGACCATTGTAAGTTTAAACATAATGACATGCTGATAAAGAATCAACTGAAAGATCAAACCATCTGGTCAAGTTTGTCAGAAGGATAACTTTTAAAGAACATTATTTGAAAGAGGAAATGGAGGATGTAATGCAGGATGTTTTAAGATTAAATAAAATTTAAGTAGATTTTTTGAATTCTGTGAAATTTGTAAAAAGTATTGGTGATTAATGAATGAGGCATGCACATTGACTAATATTCCAATGAAAAACATTATATAAAACTACAAACTAAAAGATAAACTATTTCTTTCTTTCTACTTCAAAATTCAAATTTAATTCAGTGTGTAACTAGTCGTTTCTTTAAAATTATTTGAGAAATTTAAAAGCATTGCAGATTCCTGAGTTCTTTGTTGGCCATCTAAGGTAGTATTTCCAATTCACAGCCAAACCATGCTCACTATTTCATGTCATGAAGCTTTTAAAGACATCATACTACTACATAATAGAAATACACCCTAGATCAGGGGTGTCCAGACCTGTTCCTGGAGGGCCACTGTCCTGCAGACTTTAGCTCCAACCATAAACACACCTGAACCAACTAATCCAGATCTTCAAACTTCTAGGCAAGTGTGTTAGAGCTGGTTGGAGCTAAACTCTGCAGGACATTGGCCCTCCAGGAACAGGTTTGGAAACCCCTGCCCTATATATTCCAACTGGCAGATCTTATGAAAGTGATGCATATTAGTCCTGGTAGGTAGGTGCTTTGAACATCTGCCATCACTGTTGTATAAATCTTGAGTCTTCTATTCTTTTCAGATAGGCCTAACGGGTTAATTTAGTCATGGTTTTCATCCTAGTCTTTGATCTTTGTTTAACTTTTTTTTTTTTAACAATATGCTTTTTGAATCAGATGCTGTGATCTTTATTTCCAGCAGATCAAGAATAGCATGTTTGGAAAAGTGTACTACCACTATGCTACCATGAGCGTACTCTCACAAATGTTTCATTGCCTAGTAGGCGTATATACACTGTTCACAGCATGTACATCTTCTGTAAATTTTCTGTTTTTAGTGTAACCAAGAAAAATTGTTTCATATTAAGGTGTTAAAGAACATCTGTGGTTCAAGGAGAGAATGAACAGAATGAACTATTGTAGCAGTTGAGACTATTGGTTGGTGTTGGCGGCAGTGGTCTGCAGCGGAACCTTGATATCTTAAGATGTGGATCAGCCGTCTTCATCTCAGTCTGGTCTGAATTTGATCTTGGGTGGGTGGGTGGATAACGAGGGGCCAATAACGGCTTTTCCTCCCTCTTTTCACACCCTTACTGCCAAATGAGCCTGTTCTCTGGTGTTAAAAATTAACGTCTTAACATATAACACCTGTTCAATTAATGCCCAAGGAATTCAGAATAAAAGACCCCCTTAATTACACACTCTCAGGTCGCTCCTAATACAACACTGATGGAGGGCCGAAGCCCTTTTCCAAGCACCTGACAATACTTTGCAATCAAAGTGTTAAGGAATTAATTAACGTCAAGTCTTTTTGAAAGCTAGGTGTAAATGTTATCGAGGGCTGGTTCCTTTTTATGTACACTCATGTTGGTCTCAAAGCATTCACGAAGGAAATGTCTTGCATGAACGTGCCGGATTTCATGAACTTGCTGCATTTAAAGTTACTGGCTGTAGCCAGAATATGTGAATGACCCAAATGCTTTGTGTGTGACTTTGATGAGATCCATAGTTAAATACGGATATTGAAGATCTGATTCAGGTTCATTTATATTGCACTTAATGAAACAGATTTGTCTTTATACTATGATTCTTTGCATTAGGTAGTCATTTTTGCACTTTGTCTGTAGTTTTATATTGTTATGCCAGTAGGTGGAGATCAGTGTCTGTCTTTGAGTTAATGATTCCTTCAGAAACACTGATTCATTTAGAAAAAAACACCTTCATGAGCGAGTCCTTTAATTATGCACTCAACCAATCATTAAAAAACAAGGAACGAAAAACCATCTTCGTCTTTATGAGCATTAAGAAACAAGAGACCATCTTTATGAGCAAGTATTTGGATGTGTTGACAATCCTGGCCCCTATACGCCCACTAATATAGTTTACCAAATGCGTGAATGAAAACATGGAGGTGCTGGGGATGCCATCTTCCGGCGAGACGCAGAATTGATTTGACACAACGCTGACAATGAATGAGTATTCACTAGTGGATAGTTGTTAAGTGTACATCGTTGTACACGTGTTATTGATGCTGCATCCACGCCATGTTGTACTTACCATAATTTGGAAATGTGATGTCAAATCACGTGACGTTCTACTCTGTGCTGTTCATGTCCTTGGACTTGGAATTATGCTTTTCTATGGCAACACTATTAACGCCAAATAGGCTGACACTGCAGCAGTCAGGTGATACAAATTGTAGCTCTCAAGATAATTCCCAGTTTATCAGGTGTAATTATGATTCTACAAGGATATGAACGCCTTTTACAAGTTGGAATCTCGTTATTATGATAATTACAACATGGCGTGAATGCACTTTGAGGTACATTGTGGAATGGAATGTGTGTAATTGATATTGTGCCCTAGTGCACTAAGAGTATAGAGGGCAATTTCGGACACAGTGTTTGAGTCATATACTCAACCAATGAGAGATTCTGCTTTGGATTTGTTTGGACTAGCCTACTTTCGTTGGCGAAGCAAAAACTGACAAAGTGACAATATTTGTGTCTAAAATGTTTCTCGATTTTTTTTGTTTGTTGAAATGTTTTATGAAAGCTATCATACTTCTAATAATGCTGTTGGTATTGATTTGGAACAGCAGCGTTCTTGCGTGTGTAATTGCTTAGATATACAGTACACTTCTGCAAAGTGCTAACATAGGGCCTTTGTGATTGTCACACAGACATTAGTTTGTGTATGTGACTGAAGTGAGAGGAGCGAGCTGGAGGTTAGAGGATGAACCAGCGGATTTGTAGAGATATTCATATTATCAAAAGGGCTTAACAGACAGGCTTTTGGAAAAGCCATCAGGCATCATTAAGTTTAATGTAAACTTGTTGACAAGCATTATGGTGGTTTCAATTAGGAGAACAGGAAGCGAACTCTACCTCCAAACATATTTGGCAAGGGTAATTTCAACAATAAAAGATGCATAATCTAAAAAGTGCCTGACCCAGCTTTTCCCTGTGATAAATCTCCCACGCCCAGCTCATGCCCTGTGGAGGGGAGCCGATGTTTATGCGAGACATTATAAGGGTGTTGGTATAGATTACCACAGATCGTAGAGCAGAGTGTGCAAAATGTCTTCCATATGACACTCACATATTCAAAACCAGACATTATGGCTGTCAGTCATTGTTCATGAAATATTTTCACACAGACCATCATTTCCATTTTTTTGTGTGAATCCCTCAAATGCTAAATAGTACCAAATACACTTTGCATGATTTGATGACAAATATTGTACTCAACATGGTTGCAAACTTTGAGACTTTGTAGTATAATCAGGTTTTATGTGAGTAATAAAAGTTATAAATTAATGTCATATGCATCACCTTTTAACACCGAGCCTGTTGCAAAGGTTGGGGTAGAAGTATGTATTTTTCCTACAAATAAAAGCTTGTGTGCAATAGAATAATTTAATTTCAGTAAAAGAACAATGTGTACAGTGTTGTCTGAGGGAAAACATCTTTATTACACCCAGTTGTTTGGCAAATCAATAAATGCCGTACTTCACTTGCCACTACCTTGATCAATTTGATGCATACCATCAAAAAAATTACAGCCGAAGTGAACAAAGGTCACTTTTGGTTCACTATAGTTTCTAGTTTTTCTGAAGTACTGTATGCAATAAAATGTGTTGAAGAAGATGTACCTTCAGTGCTGTTGCTTCCTAGTAAGGAGCATTAGGAGGGCTGCAACTTCTGATTATGAAAAATGTTTTTATTAAATGATCTCAAATTGATCAAAGCAAATAATCCTGCTATTTACTGTGTTCTAGTGGTGGCATCTTAAATTACGAATTTATATTGTCTATACCAGGGGTGTCTAAACCTGTTCTTGGATGGCCACTGACATGCAGAGTTTAGCTCCAACCCTTAATTAAATGCATCTGAAGCATCTAAACCATCTTCAGACCCAACTTCCAGGCAAGTGTGTTGAAGCTGGTTGAGGCTAAACTCTGCAGGACTTTGGCCCTCCAGGAGCAGGATTGGACACCCCTGATCCAAACCATTTAGTATTTCAATTGTAGTTAAATTATTCTAATGCAAACAAACTTTTGTAGTGTTTTCCTGTAGTTCAGTAGAGCATGGCACTGCCAAATGCGTAAATGTAATTCAGCGTTTTTCAAAGCTTTCTGGGATCTGCTAAATTCAGCCTTCCTCTATTTTCTCTTGTTTCTGCTACTTTACTTTGTGAGAAGTTTTTGTGTTTGTTTGGCTGAACCTATATGATGTCATTCTTGGCTACTATTATGCTGCAGAAGGGGACTGCAAAAATCGTCTTTCCTTGTGTCTGTCGCAAGGCGTCTTTTCCCACCTCTCTTATCTGGGGGTGGAGACTCCCGGGGAAGTTTCCACCAGAACAGATCAGCCCAGCTTGTGGAAAAGGATATGTTCCTCTCACATTGAGGAAGGGATCAGTGATATCTGCACAGCCTGTTGCTAAAGACAAGAGTTTATATCACATATACAATTTAATTGGTCATACAGAAAGCTGCTTTGTTTTACAATGACTAATGTGTGGATGGTGCTTCATACATCACTACACTATTTACAGTAGACAGATGGATTATTTTTGCATGTGAAATTTCACTGATATTTCTCTAGTATGACCACAGCTGTAGTGGTCATTGACTAAAGTCATAAATTATACATAAATATATGCAATTCACCCATCGTTACCCTCTTTTCACAGGTCCTCCAGGAAAACGTGGAAGAAAAGGCAACCCTGGTGAGTACCTGTACATGACACACAAGTTTATACACATCCAATAGTTTAAAAATGACCTGAACCTAACCTAAAATTACAGCAAAACAAATGCTGAGTGACTTTTAGCTGTTCTCCAGGATAAAGACTGTCAGGATCCTCTCATGTGTTCCAGACCTTTCATTTTTCATGTCATGTTTGATTTCTATTTCATTGAGGAACCATTGAACAGATGGAAATGTCAGTTTATATCATGCGGTTGGGAAAAGGCTTTTTCTCTGTGGTAGTCATTGTGATGTTTCTATTACGTTGATCGGTAGGGGTTGAAGAGGGTCGTTCTCCTTGTCTTCAGCCATTTTCCCAGCATGTTGTTTATTTTACTGCTTATCTTCTAACCTCAGAAATCTTAAACTGCATTGAAGTTGATGACATCTTGATCCAACAAGAAAAAAATTATCAAAATTATGATGTAGATGCATATGTAAAGTGCTTAACCTAAACTGAATTCAGTGCCTCGCAGTCATTATAAGGGTACAGTACTTTGTCCACTAGCATTTGTAGACATCATCTTATTGTACATTTTGTAGCTCAATTGAGTTTTAGCAGGCAAGGCTTTGCCCCCTGTGCCAAACTCCCCAGACATAATTTTATATTTGACTAAAGAATTTTAAATAAATGTTGTACTTGTATAGAGATTACCCACATTTGCAGTGGCCATTGGTCCTGATGTATTTTGTCCATAGACATTTATCAAATAAATTATACAAAGTTTTAGACCTTGAAATAAGCCAACAAGCAGTTTTTTTCGAGGCCTATAAAATCAGGTGCAGTTCCACAGTTAATATCAAGTGCCATACAATTACAATTATATAAATAACTATACACACACATGTGTGTGTATATATATATATATATATACACACACACACACACACACATATATATATATATATATATATATACAG